GCTATCTAGGAACCTTAAGAGATCACTCTCTGGGGCTGTTGATTCTTCCATTAAATAAGGATTCTCTGACACCCCCTTGGAAGGTTTCCATGACCCCTGCCCAGCACAGCTCCTCTGCCTTCTTCACAAGGCTTGGTACCAACATAGAGTAAGTGTCAGTGAGCCCACAACTCCCAATGTGCTCACCTCCTCGGAGGTCCCAGCATGCTGCCCTGTGACTTCCAGGCACTGTCTGGTTGCCCTGTCTGGGGTCTCTCCCTCCTAGGACACTGCACGCCACTTTTAGACACTCAAGTGTTTGTTGAATGAGATGAACATCATCCTCTATCAATTTCTAAGGACAGACATTCTGTTTGCATTGGCCCATTGGTCCTGGAAATGTGGCATGGGCTTATCAACAGATGAATATATAAACAGGTGCTCCCGAGGGTCCCATCATCCAGGGAACTGGTTTTAACACCTGATTACCTTCTGCCTTGCATTATGCTCCAGTCACCTCTGTAAACTCTAAGCCTACCATTCTACTAACACATATGCACACCATGTGGAAGAAATCCAGATATGTCCCATGAGTTGTGTGCATGTGTCCTGAGCGCCGGCACACCATGCACACTATTTATCAGGAGTCAGGTTGGTATCACATTTATTGTGTATCTTCTGCAGCACTGTCTATCCTGCTAGGGAGAGGGCACATTTTTGCTAAGTGTGTATACTGACGTAAAACTGCAACGTATGCTGTTTAATAGGAAAAGGGCAATTTTTGCGTCAAGAGGTACTATTAATATCATCTTTGTTACTAATTGTTCTACACATTGACCATAACATAGTCCTTGATCTCTCTAAGAAGGAACAGAAGTTGACAATAAATTCATTAGAAATATGCTTCTTTTACTCATAGGAAATTGCTATTCTTAGTAACAGCTAAAACATTATTGTCCATTCTTTCTAATAGAATAAGGATTCTATATGCTTTACTTGTAACACCTAAACATTTACAATGCAAAAGTCCTTGTATCCTTACCACAGCTGCTTTGTTTAAAATTTTTTTTGGAGGGGGGGAAGATTGATGTTCAGAGGGCTTATGAATCATTAAAGTCATTGACCAATTCAAATATTCAACTATCAACCTGTTCTTTTAGAGAATGTTCCTTTCACCCACCTTGGGACCATTCTACCAGCACATATATGCACCATGTGGAGGAAATCCACGTGTGTCATGAGAGTGGTGTGGACGTGTCCTGAGAGCTGGCCTACTATGCACATGGTTTAAGCAGAACTTTGATCTACAGTCAAAAGTTCTTATCTGTGTAACCCTTAGAAACAAATGCTCTTTTTTCCACAAGGCGATCAGAACTTGGCTCTGAGTATACAGCCAGTGCATTGTGTAGTTCTTTGTTCGCTTGAAGAAAATCCCACAAATGTTGATTCACTAATTTACTCTAATAAAAAAGCTGTAGGCAGTCTCAAGTCTGAGTAAGTGTGAATGTCAGAAAGGTCCTTCTAGACTTACAATGCATTTTTCAATGTTCTGTCTGGAATAGGAATATAAACAGAGTATTGAAGACGCTTCTGTCAGGCCACCTTTCTGATCAAATATTTTTGATATTTCAAAATAAATATTTTAGAATTAAAATAATTAGAATAATTTTTTTAAAGTGGTATTCTTCTTCCAACCAAGATGGAGTGAGATGAATTGAAACTGCCCTTCCATTTGAAACAACCAAAAATACTCAGAATAAAGACCATGAAAAAATGGTTTCCAAAACACAGGCTATCAAGGAAGGACAGTGATGCTAGAAGGAAACACAGAGAAAAGCTCTGTGACGCTGGCTTACACAAGGACTTCTCGGACACAGCCCTGGAAGCATGACCCATACCAAAAACAATCATCATCTGGACTTTGTTAAAATTAAAAACTCCTGCTCTTCAAAAGACAGTGCTAAGAGAACGAAAAGATCAGCCACACTGGGAGAAAATAGTCATATATCTGGATTTGCATCCAGAAAATATAAAGAACTCTCAGAACTCAGTAATCAGAAAACAAATTACCCAATTATGAAAAATGAGCCAAAGAGTTGAACAGATACTTCACCAAAGAAGACATCAAGATGATAAATGAGCACATGAAAAGATGTTCACCATCATCAATCTTTAGGGAAATACAAGGTAAAACTACAGTAAGATATCACTGTTGCAGCTATTAGAGTGGCTGAAAGTAAACAGACTAATCATGCCAAGAGTCAGCAAGTGTGTGGAGTGATCCAAACTCTCATATGCTTCTCATGGGAGTAGTGAATTGTTCAAGCATTCTGGAAAACAGTTTGGCAGTTTCTTGTAATATGAAAATATACCTGCTATATTACCCAGGTTTTCCACTACAAGGCATTCATCCAAGAAAGGAGAGAGTAAATGTCTGTACAAAGGCTTGTACATAAAGGTTCAGCACGGCTTTATTTGTAATATCTTCTGAGCTGGTAACAACTGAAATAACCATCAATGGGTGACTACGTGAAGTAACTAGGGGAAAATCCATACAATGGGAAACTACTTAACAATAAAAAACACAACGAATTATTGAATTACTGATACATGAGATGGAATGAGTGAATCTCAGCATAATTATGCTAAGTGAAGGAAGCCAAACCAAAAAAGACTACATACTGCATTGTTACATTTATATGTAACAGTAGAAAATGCACACTAATCTCTATTAACAGAAGCAATACAGAAAGCAACTGAGGAGGAGGGTAGGCTAAGGTTAAAGACGGGCTGGAGAAAACTTTTGCGGTAATGGATATACTCGCTATCTTCATTGGGGTGATAATTTCACAGGTGTGTATATAAGTCAAAACCTATAAAATTGTGCACTTTAAATTTGTTCAGTTTATTGTATGTCAATTATACCTCAATTTAAAATCCCCAAAAGATGCTAATTTACTTTGGGAAACTTTGCATAAAATCAGCATTTATGATATAGCCATTCAAAAAACGATTCATTGAGTTCCTATCTATGCCAGGCACTGTGCTGGTGGAAACAAACAATCAAAAACCAGCAAAGGAGGTTTTGACCCATGGACCGCTAAGTGAGGCCTCTTAGTGTTTCCACTGAGCTTTGCTGCTTAAGGAAAGTTGATTCTGAAGGGCTTTTGAAAAACCAAGTTTTAACTTCTGTTGTCAGTCTCATTACATGGAAATTGCTTCAGAATGTTTCATCTATAATCACATGAATTTTGATACTGCACTTGTGCCTAACTGTACAAATAAGAGAATTGAAGAAAAAACCACAAAACCCCCATTCTATTCTCTACTCAGAGGGCCTTTCCACAAAATTAACAGAAGAAGGTAAATCTGCTATGTGCTCTCATGTAGATGGATCTATGGTTTCAACATAAAACGAGTGGGAAGACTTTGCTCCAGTTCCCCGCATTTCCTTTTGTGTGAGTCATGAAGAGCATAATTTGCTGTGTTCCCCAAAGCCTTGCTTACCATCATCTCTTATTTCTAAGATTTTCCACTAAGCCAGACTCTTTAAGCCACCAACAATTAGCAAAACTATTTATCACTGAATTCGCCTTGTGGGGAATTTGACTTCTGTCATGTGAGAAGTTCAGAGAAAGCAGAGGTAAAACATATACATAGGGTCTCAGTGTAAAACACTGGGAAGCGACATGCTTTTATCAATCAACCTTATGCCATTAGTTACCACAGAGAGAACATTCTGCTGTCACAACGGGATTTCTAAAAGATGGACCATTATTCCATAATAACACCATTATAATACTGGTCATCAAGCCTGTCAACATTTTCCTTAAAAGAAACATATTTTTAAAAGAGTTTACTACTCAGATCTTGCAGGCTGAACTTGGGCAATAAATTTTTCCAAAGAAAGTATGGAAACCTCGCAAATATGAAGAACTAAATTAGCATGACTGTGTACAACATTCTTTGAGCCAGCATTGGAGAAGCTGCTTGGAAAATGAAACAAGAAGCATATTTTAAATGACATACAAAGCCAGTTATCCAAATCAATTATTTTGTAGAAACTGCTAAAAACACCTTGGGTATATCTATAATTCATTAAACTAGAAACAAGCTTAAAATCTCCTTTCTGTATTGACACAAGACAAGAAAGGTAAATCTTATGAAGAATAATGAATATAAGATTCAAAAGTTGGCAAAGATTGAGATGATCCAAGCTGGCCCTGAACCACTAATAATGTTTTTGAAAGATTGGGTTATTAGATTAACAGTTGTAGAAGATGGACACTATTTATGCAACGTTAAAGCAAACATTTTTATTCACCAAACATTTCCTAAATTGCAGGCAAAAATGTGAAACTCAATCTGACACCTGTAGCAAATCTGAGGGCCTTCCCTGGTCCAGGGCATACTCTCTGCTGTAAATGAGGTTTGTTCCAAAGGTTATTTGAAAAAGAAAATCCTTACTCAGTTTTTAACTCTTGCTGCTTTCCACCAGACGATTTACCCTGATTCTTCCCAAAGCCCTGTGTGTGGCAAATGCACCTGACAGCAGTAACTCAAGCATACCCTGAGAATGATGCTATGGTTTAAGAAGAATATGTGTTCGGAGTTCTATAAGGAATCTGGGAGTGGCCAACCTGGAGATTCACTCCTCATCTGAAGAGGACATCTGAATCCCTGGCTGGCCCATTTTTTGGAACGCAGGTCGTCCAGGGGACTGAGGTCCTTTGTCATGGGTTAAATGGAGGTTGCTAGGTGAAAATGCTATATAACCTGCATGCTTTTAATAAATGCACTGCTCCTGGACCATCCTGTATGTAAGTACCCAATAAATCCTATATCTCATTCCCTGGCTTCAGGTCTCTTCTTCAGCCCCTTGGGCATGGTGACATCCTTACTGGAGTCAACAGGGATCTGGCATGAGACCCTGAAAACTCTCAGTCTCCATTCCCTTTGGTCAATAGAGTGCATGTGGTTGTTGATCCTTCTCTTAGGAACCAAGGAGGGGCTCTACTCACGTCATGCATGGAGTCCAGCAGCTTGGTCAGTTGGTAGAACCTCTGCCAGCTCTGCCCAGAATTGTTGGGACACTTAGTTACCATCTTCCTCAGTTCTTTGATGTAATTTGTTCTCATTTCTTCAAATGCAGCCTGGCTTTTGAGGCCATCCTTTGGAACTGTGTTAAAACAGACATGTAAATTTCCAGGATGGAAAACAACTTTAGCATCTTAGCAAGTAAGGTCATATAATGATTTTGAGGTTAGATACTGAATCTCAATTAATTACATTTGTGAAAAAATATGGTGGTTGTCTACTGGCAAATACTTGTACATGTACATACACAAAGAAGAACAACCATCAGATGTGTTTTTTCGTATATTTTGCACAGACTAGTTCACTTAACCATGACACCCGTATTATGACATAACTGTTGTATCATTTTCATTTTCCAGATGAGGAAACTGAAGACTGGAGGCTGAGTCACTTGCCCATGGACACAATAAAAAATGGCAGAGAAGGGGCAGTATAGACTTAAGTCTGTCTGTTTCCAAGGCCTGCCTCTTGACCGCAAGGCCACTCTACCTTGTGGCCGGTCATCAGAGTATTTTTGAATCCTAACTTGCCGAAACCTCAGAGATAGAAAACTATATTTTGATTTTCAAGGATAACTGAGGAGCCACAGACAATCTAGGCTGGGGCTAGAATTAGAAATCAACATCCTCATTCTCAAGTTCAAATATTAAAGACATTCAGGAGAACTGGCCATCTACGAAGGGGAGGACGCTGCTTACAAAGCAGCCCTTTCTACCCACTTTGCACCTGGATTGCATGACCACTGAGGCACATGACTTCCCAGCACAACCTCATGAAGGGTCTGTACACTGGTTTATGTGTGGGAGGGGGAAACATCAACAGTGGTTCTGCACGCAAGGCAAAATTTAAAACTTTCAAAGAGAATGAACCATGTTCATCTGTATCTTTGATAAGGCAGAAAACTAAGGATAATATTTTCTTCTTTCCTTTCATGTGGTGGCTAGCTTTCATATTTTTTTAAAAAAAATTCACTTAAAAAGAATACTTTGAAATTCAGGACTTGTAAGCTTATCAAGTGCTTCTGGGACCTGCTGAGAGGCAGGTCCCAGGACATTTGTGAAAGTACTTTATTAATAAATGAAGTCCAGGTGTAGGACAAAGTTTAAGCAATTTTTTCCCACCATGGCCAATAAATAGTATGTTTATGCCTTAATATTGAAAAAGAAAATCACCTAGAATTTTGTTTTTAGGAGATAAACATCTAATGAAAATTCATCTTCGGATATTAACATTCTGGTATTTAAACTGCTCTCACTTTCACTTCTTAATTACCCATTATATTTGCTAATTTCCCATAACTGGTATAAATAATTATTTACTTGGGTCATCAGCACTTTGAGAGGGTTCTGAGTATTGCATGAAACCCTGGAAGCCAGGCATATTGCTGTTTCCAAAAAAACCCTGTGATCCTACAAAAAGACATGGATTAGCTTGCAAATTAACTTCTACTATTATGATAATAATCATCTTGAGTTTAATTGTTGAGACTTTTGATTTGTGGTTTATTTAAGTCTATTTTTGTGAGGGGGGGAAATAAATCCCTAATAGCAACTGCACAGATTCCTGAGGCTGCCACAGTATTAGTTGTGGTTTAAAATATTTGACATTCACATTAAATGTTAAAAGCTGTCCATTATATAACAAATAGTATTTTTTTCTCCTTAAAATAAAGCTGTTTTAAAAGTAAAAAAAAAAAAGGTAAAGAACAGTAATAACCAGGATGTTAGTAGTAAAACCATAGATCCAATTTCTACCAAAATTTTAATGTTAAAACTTTCTAAAAGACAAGAAAAGTTTGCAAATATCTTACACTTTCCACCCACCGATTAGCATTTAAGTTATAAGACTGCACAAAGTAAATGTTTAGTTTTTCAATGTAGATACTTATATGGACATCATCTTATACATGAAAAATTAGTAGTAGAATAAGTAAGTTTCACTATTATATTTCAATACCATTTGGTATATGTAAGGTTAACCAAATTTATATTTCTGATAGTTGTAGATCAAAATTTCTAAAATTTATAGCAACTTGTGTCAATTATACTTATATTTTATTGCAATAAGTGAAATATATTGCACCAGTTTCCCACCCAGATTTTTTAGAAGTTGAAACAAACCCACAAATAAAGAGAACTTAAGCAAAACCTCAAATTTTGGAGTTCTGCCCAGAGTTTCTGAATTTACTTATTAAATGCAGCAGAGCTGCTGGAAATCATCCAGAATCTGGAGAAGAGCAAAGAGACAGCTGAGATGGACGTCTGTGTGCTGTCCTCTGTAAGCAAAAAGAACATGAGAGCCTCTGATGTCAGTCCCAGAAAACTTTGATACACTGGACATCAGGTGTGCATTTGACATTCCTGAGATGAAACATTTTCATGTGTTCTATCACAGATTAGCAAAACAAGCTTACTAAAGCCTGTGGGTTTTATGGTTCTGCATTAAAAAAAAAATAGAATTCAAAGTACTGAGCTATTTGGGGGCTGATAAATTAATTCAAGCAGCTTCAAAATGATATCAGAATCTATTATAGTCTGAGTATATAAAAGGGTAAGATCAATTTAGATGGAGTAGTGAACAATCATAAAGAATTAGGATCACAGGCACTTTAAAAAATGTTTCATTGATAGTCTATCATTCATTCGTCATAATTTTCAAAATATTTTTCGAACCAGTAACGGTTAATAACCTAGCTTGGAAGGGGAATACAATCCTTTTCAGTGAATTTAAAGATTATAGCTCCAAAGTTATACTCGAGAGAAAGAATAAGTCAGAAACAACAGATACCTTGGTGAAGAGTGGAGCAGGGGCCGACCCTGCAGGTGAGGGGTGCAAACACAAGAGCTGCAGGGGATGGGGCTGGGTGTCATTAGTGAGGAATGGTGGGGCCTGTGGCAAACTGGAGAGAACATGCCCTGCCCCGGGCAATTGAATTCAATGAAAATAAAACAAAAGGCCAAAAGCAACCCCAAAAACCTGTGCTGGCCAAATAAAACACAGCTGTGAACTGCTGGCCCCACCTCCCTACCAGGGCTGCCGATTTGCCCCCTCTGCTATGAAGTCTGCGATACTGCCTACTGGACACCCCGTCCTCGCTGCTGCCATTGTGTGCCACCTGCCATCCACCTGCCTTTCAGCCTCTCAGTCCCTGCTCTTCGGGAAGCAGGCAGGACACTGGAGATCAAGTTCCAAGCTCTTGGTTTTAGTCCTAGCTCATAGAGGATACTCAACAAATCACACTTAAGTGCCTCTGTGTGGTCAACTTCACAGGAGGGCTATCGATCTCCCAAGGTTATTTTAATCATTCAATTAGATAACATATGGAAAAACACTTTGCAAATTACAAGGTGCTAAACGTGGACGAAGCAGGATTATTACCCATGTCACCCCTGCATCCCTCTTCCTGCTCTGATCGCTACCTGATTCCAGCTTAGTTTTCCCGACCCAGTCCCTCTCTGCTGGAAACAGCAGCTCTTCATACACCACACACATTCCATCCTGAGCACCTTGGATAGTCTTGCCCCTCTTCTCCAAATGACTTACTGATCACTGCCCATTCTCTCACACCTCTGATTCAGGGGCCTATGGCAAGGGTGAGGCACGGACTGGCTAAGCCAGGTTGTCACTAGGCACTCTCTCCTCTCAAGTCCATGCCACTCACCCTAGCATCCTTGCGGGCTCTTGACATCCAGAACATTTCTCAGTTTCCTCTGTGGCCATCGCACATGGCTTGGAGTTTTCCTCTCCAGACTGTCTCCTGTCATCTTTCTGGGTCTTGCCCTCATCTGATGGGAGTGTCTCAAATTCTTTCCCCTCTGTTGGAAAATTCCTGTGCCATTGTTGGAATTACCGGTGCCACACATCCTTGCCAAGGCCAGTCCTGTCCTCTCTTGTCTCCACTGGAGCTTCATACTTTCTCTCCTCCCATACCTGGTTCCAGAAGCTCAAAAAAGCTTCTCATCAATCGGCAAGTTCCTGGCATGCGGGCACCTGCCAATGCCTAATGGTCAACTCTAGGGGCCTTCTGTGAGGGTTCTCAACTTTCTCTGTGGAAACCACGCTGTTAGTCACACCCCTTTTGGAAACTCTCACCTCCTGGCTTCCAGTACCATACACTCTCCCAGTTTTTCTACCTCTCTGACAGTTCTGTCTCTCTCCCTGCAGTCTCTGCCCTGCTCCCATAACACAACTCCCCTGGCTCTCTCTGGACCATGGTAACCCCACTCACCACTGGAATTACACAATTTTCTGTAAGGTTATTCAAATGTATATCTCAGTGCTCAAACCTGTCTTCATAGTCCCAGTCCCCAATTTTCCCCATCTTTTGGCTGCTTCTATCAGGACACAGAGTTGGCATCAAAAAATTAACCTATCCAAAACAGAACTCATTTTACATTCCACAAAATCTGCTCCAAGTCCTGATGTTAACATTCCTATTAATGGTATCACTGCTGTGGCTAGTCATTTTTTTTTGCGCTTGAAACCTGTGTCACTCTGACGTACAGCACTTTTACTTCCCTTCCCAGGCAGCTGCCAAGGCCAAGTCTACAATGTTTCTGGACTCCACCTGCTCCTGTCCATCATATTAGCAGTCGTGGTAATCCAGCCCATTATTTCCACAGGCTCCAGCAGGTCTCCGTGCTTCCAATCGGGCTAAGTTCTCTGTCTCTGCCTCTCTCCCACCCTGTCTCTTTCCTCTTGAATCTGTTCTGCCAGAGAGCCTTATAAAGCCATACAATATGGCTTTGATCCCATCATCCCACTGCTCAAAAGCCTTCTGCATTGTCCTTTTCTGCCCACCTAATAAAGTTCAGATTTCTTCAATGGGCATTGAATATACTGGTCTAATTGACATCCCAATCTTGTTACCCACAACTCCTCCACCCAACATAACCTGATGCACCTTTAAAAAATAAATTAATACATAAGTAAAGAATTTGAAGGTTAAATCACCCCTCTCCCAACTAAGTGTCACTGCCTATAAAGACTTTCCCACAGGTCCGCACTCATTCATACTGATGCTCACAGCAATGCCATCTCACACCTCCTATCCAGCCTACAACCCCTGCAAAATCCTCCAAGATCCAGCTGCACCATGTATCTCTCCCAGGTCCCCAGAACTGAATGTGCTCTTCCCTTCTTTGAACCACCATGACATTCCTTACCTCTATCACAGTATATAACCACTCTCCATATGTATTAAAGATATCTTTGGCCAGGCACAGTGGCTCATGCCTATAATCCCAGCACTTTGGAAGGCCGAGGCAGGTGGATCACTGGAGGTCAGGAGTTTGAGACCAGCCTGGCCAACATGGCAAAATCCCATCTCTACTAAAAACACAAAAATTAACCGGGATAATGGCACACGCCTGTAATCCGAGTTACTTGGGAGGCTGAGACAGGAGAATTCCTTGAACCCAGGAGGCAGAGGTTGCCTTGAGCTGAGATCACACCACTGCACTCTGGCCTGGGCAACAGAGCAAGACTCCACCTCAAAAAATAAAATCTTTGAACTTTTCTTAAACTATAAACTCCATGAGGTTAAAGACTGTGCTTCATTAACCCTGTGTTTCCTGAATTGCCCAATCCTACCATACACATAACAGACACTTTACAAACATTGAGTGGTTGGATGAAGGAATAGTGGGATATGCTCTTTTACACGCCCAAAGCTTCATACTTTGCAAGTAACTTAGTTCATCAAAGGTCAAAGCCTTCTTCCCATTTCTTCAGTGTGTTTTTTTGTTTGGTTTGTTTTTGTTTTTGGTACCTACTACCTGAACACAATAAACAGGCTACTGCCCTATGGGGAAGATGATCTGATAATATAGAAAAAGTACCAGGATGGGCATCGTTTTACCTGTGCTCAGTAGCAGCAGAACTTTCATGATGGTGTATTCTTCAAAGGTAAGCTGCAGGCGAATGAACTGAAGGCTGATTTGGTGCATCCCCTGGCATAGTTCATACATGGCAGACTGATGCATCTTCTCTCTGCAAAGGAAAAGAAGAAAATGTCTGAGAATGCAAGATTCATGATCAAACCCAGACTGGCAGCCTGAGGCAGCTTAATAAGAGATCTGAGTCAGAATTCTCCTTCTGGCTTCAACATGGAGCAGATGTGTATTTTAAAGACAAGTTAGATGCCTTTCACAGTGATTGGTAAATTGCTTCTAGACCAATACTGCTGGGTTGTTTACTTGTACCCTGTGAGAATGTGTCAGGAGCACTGAAACAAACCCTTTTCAAAGTGTGCCATGATTTCATTTTATGTCAAGACTAATACTGACTGATTAGGATTATGGTGTGTTATAGCGAGACCAGCCACAAAGTAAAGAAGCTGCTGCGATCTGAGGCAAAGCCCACAGACTCTTACTCCTTTTCAGTGAAGATATCCAGTACTTAGTATTTGGAAAGGACTGGGCTAGATGCTATGAACACAGGATGGGGATGATCAATCTGATTTCTACATGGGCCTTCCTTATAAAGGGCATGGAACATGTTATTAACTATATACAGCAACATGTTTTAAAAGAGAAATTTAAAAAATACTTTAAAAGGTGAGAAAGCCAAATGGAATCTCTCTGATAAAGAGAAAAAATGACTTGGGGGTTTGGCACAACATATACAAATACTTCCATACACATACACACACACACACAGCCAACAATCCCCTCACACCACTATTCAAATGTTTCCATAAAAATTCATGTTATATAACAGAGGTCATCATTTTCTCTTTGCTTGAGAAGTAAGCAAGGCATCACCGTTTTTTGTTTTTTTTTAAAGATGTTTTTCCTGAAAGTAATAAACCTTTTGTAAGACCCTGGGTAATACTGGTTCATAGTGACCAGACTGTAAAAAGTGAAAGAGGGCAGGCCGTGGTGGCTCATGCCTGTAAATCCCAGCACTTTGGGAGGCCGAGGTGGGCAGATTACAAGGTCAGGAGTTCAAGACCAGCCTGGCCAATATGGTGAAGCCCCATCTCTACTAAAAAAAACAAAAAACAAAACAAAACAAAAAACACACACACAAAACTAGCCAGGCATGGTGGCAGGTGCCTGTAGTCCCAGCTACTTGGGAGGCTGAGGAAGGAGAATCACCTGAACCCAGGTGGTGGAGGTTGCAGTGAGCCAAGATTGCACCACTGCACTCCAGCTTTGGTAACAGAGCAAGACTTCATCTCAAAAAAAAAAAAAAAGAAAAAGAAAAAAAGAAAGAGACAATATTGGCAAACAATGGGAAAGGACTCGACAAAGGCCAAAGAAACAGAAAACGAGGTCTGGGTAGTGGATCCATTTCTAAGGGTGACTGAAAGCAGGCAGCGTCCACGGGACAGCAATGTGGGGATCTCTCTTCTAGGATGCATCAATTGGCCCCATCAATTGGCTCCCATCAATTGGCCGAAATCTCTTGTGTCTCAACTCTGAATGCCAGTTATAAGGAACCCATAACGAAACACAGCACATGTTCTCTGCATTATTTTATGTCTTTCCTCTCCTCCTAACAAACTAGAAACCATTTTAAATTAAGGAAATATTTTAAACACACACATGCTAATAGCAGGAGCTTCTGGATCTACCATCCAGAATTAACAATGTAAACAAATGCTACTATTTTTGCCATCTGTGCATCAGATTTTTAAAAATTAAACATGGCAGAGTTAAGGCCCGCTCTGTCTTCTTCCTCGATCCCATCCGTCTCTTCCTCTTTCAAGAAGGGAACCACCCGATCTGGGTGATTATCATTTCCTCTCAGATGTGTGTATGTATGTATCGATAAAAACAGGACACCATACTGCTTTATTTTATGTAAATTTGCAATTAGATATGCACATCCTTCTGCAACTTATTTTTATTCAACAGTAACTTTTGATACAGGTAACTAAATTAATCCATTTTAACTGTTTTGAGCTTCATTTGTTTGAATGTACCACAACTTACTTATCCATTCCACTACTGATGGACACCTGGGTTGTCTGCTCTTTACTGTTATCACAAGCAATGCCCAAAGAATATCCTTATCATTTCTATAGGACACAGAATGAAAACAGAACTGCTGAGTCATAGATGGACACATGTTTCCGCTTTCATTCCCACCAGCAGGGCATGAGTGTACCCTTACTCCACATCCCCACCAATGCTTGCCATTATCCAATTTCATTTTTTTTCCATCTGACGGGAGGCTGAATGGGTAGCACATGGTTGCTTTCGTTTCCATTTCCATCATCAACAGTAGGTTCAACATTTTTTTCCAAACGTTTACTCATCATTTGGGTGTCTTCTTTGGTGATCTGACTCTTCATATCTTTACCAGTTTCCCCCATGTTTTCCTTCTTGCACTGAGTAACACCATTGTTATTTCTAATAATTGACTTAAAAATGTTGTCTGATCTTCACATTGTTTTCCTTTCTCTCTGCTTCTTTTTCTTGCTCGCTTTGGAACTTGAGAGGTGTGTCATCCACCTTTCTTTTGATCCTAAGTTTCAAACTTCCCATGTAATTATATTTCACACATACCGAATAAACACAAAAGGCTGGATTAAAAAATCTGAGAGTCTCTGTATTTTAATAACTCAGTTTAATCTGTTTTTATTTATCATGATTACTGACAAGTTTGGATGTTCTCTACTGTTTTAACTTACTTTCCTTCCTCTTTCCCTCCATTCTCCTTCTCTTCCTTTTATTGAATTGATCTAGCTTTTTAACCCCCTTCTCTTACGGCTTTACTGGATTTAGAAGCTGTACATTCTGCTTTTACACCTTAAGTCGTCACTGTTAAATGCAGTTTCTCTCACATGCACACACTCCAGGTCTGCTTAGATTTTCCCAGTGTTTCTGTGACTACCCTCACTTCTTGCACTTCACTCCTGAGTTCAATTTCTTGCTTACTGAAGAACATATTTTAGTTGTTCTTTCAGCAGTGATTAGTTGATAATGTTCAGGAGCTGGGTGCGGTGGCTCATGCTTGTAATCCCAGCACTTTGTGAGGCCGAGGTGGGCGGATCATCTGAGGTTAGGTGTTCAAGAGCAGCTTGGCCAAAATGGTGAAATCCCATCTCTACAAACATACAAAAATTATTGCATTACAGGTATGATGGTAGGTGCAATTCCAGCTACTTGGGAGGTTGAGGTGGAAGAAATACTTGAACTGGAAGGTGGAGGTTGCAGTGAGCCAAAACTGTATTGGACTCTAGCCTAGTGACAAAGCGAGACTCTTGTCTCAAAAAAAAAAAAAAAAAAAAAAAAAAAAAAGTTTATGTCTTTTGGTCTCAATGTGTCTAACAATGTCTTTATTTTACCTTCCTTCCTGGGTGATAGTTTAAAAAGCTATGGATTTCTAGCTTGAAAAGTAATTTACCACAGTACTTTGCAAATAGCATTTGACTACACCTGGGCCTTAACTGTTGCTTTTGGGAAATTTCCTGTTAGTCTAATTGTCATTCTCCTGAAGATAGCCTGCATTTTTCTCTTTGGAAGCTTTAAAAGTTTTTCTCCATGTATATGATGCCTGCAGTTTCATTATGATGTACCAAGGTACAGATGGATTTTTATTTCTGCTGTTCAGGACTCTGTGTCCTTATTCAACTTGCATATGTAAGTATTCCTTCAGTTCTAAAATGTTTTTAGCCATTGTCCCTTCAAATATCATCTCTAACCTGTTGTTTTTCTTTTTAAAACTCCAATTAGCAGTATGTTGGACCTTCTCCTTGTGTCTTCCACATTAGCCTCTCTCTCATATTTTCTTGCTTTTTATCTCTCTGTAATGCATTCCTGGGTGATTTTCTCAGATCTATTTTCCATGTAATCTACTGCTTAATATCTATAGTGTTTTAATTTTAATGGCACTACGTTTCACGTTGAGGAGCTAAAAAATGCTCTATTTAATTTTCTCTCAAACATTTCTGTGATTTCCCATATTTTTCCTTTACATATCTAGATATTAAAGATGTTTATTTTATAGTTTCTTTCAGATGTTTTATTCAATTTTGGGGTTGCTAATATGCGTATCTAACACGTATTGTTTTGGCAGCTATTGTCTTCTGGGTGAATCCCATGGGTTCTGGCTTCATTTGCAATTGTCATGGGTATAAGCCTTTTACTTGTTCTGGAGCAGTTTTTATGCTAATTTCTCAGCTTAAACACTTTTTGCAAGACTCATGTAGTTTAGATTTAGACTCCACACTTGATGTGGTGCAGGTTTGTGTTTCGTATTTCTTTCAGCTTTCTTGCCATACTGGCTGTTGGTTTAGTTTTATTGTCTTTGTCAGCAGAGAATGAAATCTTTGCCAAGCCCTGGATTCATGCAGGGGGCTCTATTTCAGGCGCTGGCCTTGTTGGAGTCTAACTTCTTGTCACCTTTCCCTGTTTGTGTTCTAATACCCACCCCTAAAGCACATATCTGCATTTAATAGTCTGTGGGCCATCTGTGGCGTAAGTTCTGCCTTAAAACACCCTGGCTATGAATTTCCTGTTTTTGCGCCTTTTAAAAAATTTTCTTTTGAGCTTGGCTGTATATTTAAAACTTTTTTAAATGCAGAATTTTTTTGTGTGCAGAGCCAAAAAATAAAAAAATTAAAAAAATTAAAAAGCTCAGTTTAGTTCCATCATTTTGATTGGTAACTGCAAACTTCTTTTAAAGGAAGGATCCATGTCTGACTAACTTTTTTAAATGTCAAAAAGAATATAATAGACAAGTGCTATGTGTCAGTCTTTGGTAAGTATTTTTCATGAATGAATGAGAGAGAAAAAAGCAAGGAAAAAAGCAAAGAGAACAGTTAAAGGCTATGAAATGAAAACATACAGATTTGCATATGATGATGATGATGAAGGAGAAGGAATACCGGCAATTTATAAAAAGTAAGATTATCAAGTGGCCACAAAATTAGAAATTGTATTTAGGAAGTTCTACAAAATTTTTTGAGAGAAAGAGAGAGACTGATTTAGATTATGACATGGGTGAAGCAAGTTAGAAAATCAGGATGTCTGTAGAGC